ACACACACACACAAACCCCCCCCCATTGCGTATACAGCACCCCTTCCCAGACAGCCATGATGGTGTGTATAGCGCCACGGTGCACACACACACACACACACACACAAACCCCCCCCCATTGCGTATACAGCACCCCTTCCCAGACAGCCATGATGGTGTGTATAGCGCCCAGGTGCGCGCGCGCACACACACACAACCCCCGCCCCCCCCCATTGCGTATACAGCACCCCTTCCCAGACAGCCATGATGGTATGGACAGGGCCTGCCTGCACACCCCCGCCCCATTGCTGTGTGGAATGGCGTGTACAGCAACTGCTCCTGGCTGGCCATGACGGTGGGTATTGCAGGGGCGCGCGTGTGCACACACAGACACACACCTGTTGCTGTCCATGATGGTGTGCAGGCGGTGGGCGATGGTGAGGACAGTGCAGTTGGCAAATTCACTCCGGATTGTTGTCTGGATTAAATGATCTGTTTCCAGATCCACAGCGGCTGTTGCCTCATCCAGTATGAGGATCTTGGATTTGCGGAGCAGGGCTCGGGCCAGGCACAGCAGCTGCCGCTGCCCAACGCTGGGGTGGGGAGAAAACACCAGCACTGATGTGGGGCAGCTTGAGAACGTGCCCAGCGCTACCTCTGCCACTGAGGGCAAGCGAGTGACCTGGCGTAGCCTAGCGGCAGCATCACACCCTGCCTCTCCTGCCCCATCAGCCAATCACCGAGACAGGCTAGGACACAGGGCATGGGGCAGCCGGGCTCAGACACAAGGCTGTCTAGCCCAGCACCTGTCTCTGACAATGGCAGCACCAGATGCTGCAGAGGAAGGTGTAAGAATGCTGCTGTCAGGCTTTGGGGACTTCTGACCCCCTCCCTCCCCCTCACCATTAGGTTTCAGCTGAACCTTCCTTAGTAAGAGATCAGCTTAGGCTTTGAAGAATTAGGCTTAATCCTGTATCAAGATTTTTCTTAGCATTAACCACTTTAACACTGGATAGTCTTACTAGCCATATACATGTCCAGGTCCTTTCGGAAGTGTGTTAATTTCTTGGCTTCAACAACTTCCTGTGGCAAGGCGTTCCACAAGCTAATTACACTTGACTGTCTCCTTGGTCTTGTTTTAGAAGACCGGGAAGCCAGCCATTCCCCATTTATCCTCTCACTCGGTCATTATTTTATATAGCTTTAGCCCAATATGGCCGTTCTTATGGGTCCCCCCCCCGTTAGCTGTTTTCTATCAAAAGGACACAATTCCAAGCCTGTCACTCGCTCGTCATGTGAGCATTTTTCCAGGCCCTTGCTCACGCTCATTGCTCGTCTCTGAACCCCCCCCTTACCCTCCCTCCTCACACACACATCAGCACTATGGGTGAGATGAGGTGACCAATACTGCACATACTATTCAAACGCAGCCACACCATTGATTTAGGAAGTATTTGTGATATTATTCACCATGCCATTCCTTATGCAACCTCACACAGAATCACAGAAATGTAGGACAAGCAGGACAGAGCAGCTAGTCCAGTCCCCTGCAGTGAGGCAGGCCTACGTCTTAGCTAGACCAGTGGTTCTCAACCTTTTTACATTTGTGGACCCCTAAAAAATTTCGGATGGCGGTGTGGGCCCCTTTGGAAATCTATTGTCTGTATACATAGTCGAATTCTGGTCAGTCAGGTTTCAGAATAAGTCTTTTGCAGACCCCTTGACATAGTCCACAGACTCCCTGGGGGCCACGGACCACAGGTTGAGAACCACTGATCTAGACCATTCCTGAGAGCTGTTTAATCTGTTCTTTAAAAAAAACCCTCCAATGACAGCGAGTCCACAACCTCCCTAAGTCATTTGTCCCAGTGTTTAACTACTCTTACGGTCAGGAAGTTTTTTCCCACTGTCCAACCTAAATCTCCTTTGCTGTAGTTGAAGCCTACTGCTGCTTGTCCTGTCCTCAGTAGCTAAGGAGAATGAGCTCTCCTCCTCCGCTTTATAACAACTTTTTATGTACTTGAAGACTGTTATCATGTCCCTCCTCAGTCTGCTCTTCTCTAGATTAAACAAACCCAATTTTTTTAATCTTTCCTCATAGGTCATGTTTTCTAGACCCTTAATAATTTTTGTTGCTCTCATTTGGACTTTTTTCCCTGAAGCGTGGTGCCAGACCTGGACACAATAAATCCAGTTGAGTCCTTATTAGTGCGGAACAGAGTGGAAGAATTACTTCTCATGTCTTGCTCACAACACTCCTATTAACACATCTCAGAACGATGTTCGCTTTTTTTGCACAGTATTACACTGTTGATCCCCTATGTTTGTGATCCACTATTTAGTTTGTGATCCACTATGACCCCTAGAGCCTTCTCTGCAGCACTCCTACCTAGGCAGTCATTTCCCATTTTGTATTTATACATTTGATTGTTCCTTCCAACATGTAGTGCTTTGCATTTGTCCTTATTGAATTTCATCCTATTTACTTAAGATAATTTCTCCAGTTGTCAAGATCATTTTGAATTCTAATCCTGCCCACAAAGCGCTTGCAACCCCTCCCAGCGTGGTACTGTTCACAGATTTATAAGTGTACTCTCTGTGCTAGTCTCCAAATCATTGATGAAGATACTGAACAGATCTGGACCCAGGACAGATCCCTGCAGGACCCCGCTCATTATGACCTTCTAGCTTGACTCTGAACTATTTTGTAGCCTTTTTGGCTCACAGCTGCACTTTGAGATGAGATCGCCATTGAGCTGGCTCCAGTGAGGTATGAGTGTCACTGATACAACCCCATATGGTGCGAGTTGTTCAGTTTCTCCCCTCCCTCCAGTGTGCATTACGTGCATTTATCAACAGTGAATTTCACCTTCCATCATGTTGCTCATTCCTCTTGATCAGGTCCCTCTGAAGTTCCTCCCAGTCATTTCTGGATTTGACTCCCCAGTATAGCTTTGTGTTATCTACAAAATCACGCCTCCCTGCTCAACCTCTTTCTGGACCATTAATAAATGTATTGTACAACACGGGCCCACGTACACCCCACGGCGACCTTTAGCCAGAATGAAAATTGACCATTTAAGCATACTCTTTGCTTTCTGTTTCTTGGCCAGTTTTTGATCTACAATGACACTTTGCCTCTCACCCCATGATGACTAGGTTTCACCCACATGTGCCTTCCCCTCCCCCCCAAAAAACGCACCCTTCCCCCGGCCTTGCTGCCCCCCACGCACACTTCTTGTGCCTTGCTGCTCCCCCACGTACCCCTCCCCTTGGCTTTGCCCCCCACACAAACACCCCCCTTCTCCTGTGCCTTGCCCCCCCAAAACTCACCCTCCCCCCTGGCCTTGCTGCCCTCCCACCCTTCCCCCTGTGCCTTCCCCCCGCCACACAAAAACACACCCTTCCCCCTGTGCCTTGCTCCCCAGTTCCCGTGGC